CCGCAGCGCCCGCAACCCGAGAGATCGCGGACTCCTGCGGCGGCTGCTGCTACGGCAGCGACGGCGGAGGAGGAGACATTGGCCCGAAGACAGGCGGCGAAAACAGCGCCGCGGGGCCACCAGAGTCAGCCGACTCCTCGTCCGGGACAACCGACGGGAGGGGAGTGACGTGAGACACACCAGACAGGGCATGACGGGGAGGGAGAGGAACAGGGGATACCGGGGGAGAGGGAACCAGAAACAGGGGCGGGGACACCGGGAGACGTCAGTGGGGAAAGCGGTGGTAGAAGGAGACAGACTCTTCAAAAGTGACGTCACCCGAGTGAAAGAAGGTGAGACAGCGGATGGAAAAAGTGCTTGTCAGACGCATCGAGGAGGGAACCAAGGAAGACGCAAGGGACAGTGCGGGCAGTGAGCTTGTCCGTGCAAGATGCACGAACGTGAGCAAGGCAGCCCCAGACGTGGAACGCAGACGCGTCGCCAGGGAACCCGGTCCAGAGAAGAGTCGGCGAAACCTGCGGCCGCTGAAAGTGCGGCCACAGGTTAAGCTGTCAGCGGCGTAGCGAACAGCAAACAACAATAGAAAATGGGGTGCACCGGCATGGATCATGGAGGTACGAGCCACCTCCATAACCAAACCAATGCGTTGCTCAGCGTCCCCATTCTGCTGTTGGGAGTCCGGCAGGGTGTATGACTGGGTGATGCCCTCCGCATGATAGAACAGGCCACGTCCACCGGAGGCGAACTCGTCGTCACGGTCAGAGTGGAGACGTAGCCCAGGGAGGCCGCCGTGGGCTCGCGCAGCTACGACCCACGGGATAAGAACGTCAGGCACGTCGGCCTTCCGCTCTAGGAGAAAACCGTCGTGTTGCGTGTATAGTCGTTGACAAGCACTAGAAAGTAGCGCTCTCGACGTGGCCCAGGGACGGGGGCTTGGCCCCAAACGTCTAATTGCAAAGTGTGGAGTGGTGCAGTGGTAGGGGGGAGCGAGGAGAAGTGAGGAGCATGGCGCACTTGGCTCTCAATGCAAGGCGTGCACGGCGGCATAGGTGAGGGGGAAGGGCAAGGAGCGACACAGAGAGACTGAAGACAAGACCGTGATGGGACGTATCATATAGACGCGGAAGTGCAGGGTGACCTAGGCGGTGGTGTCATAGAAGCGACACGTGAGTGAGTGATTGACATGAGCAAGCCGTAGCGACCAGGGTGGACTAAGGCACCTAGGGGGACGCCTTTGCAGAGGGGGACGCGGTGTCAAGCGTTAACAGGCCAGACACGGGGTCCTGGGGGATTGTGGTGAGAGGGGCACCAGTGGTGGCCTTGGTACAGATTGCGTACCGCTCGTGTCCGAGGAACGTAGTGATGACGCTGAGGTTCTACAGACAGCCGACACCAACTAGGGTCCTGGAGAAGGAGGGGATGTGCACGGCTGTAAGAGAACCCGATGGGACCGCCGGACAGGGAAGGATGGTGGAGCTACGAGCAAGTACCGGACCTGAGGAGGGGTCAGCAAGTGCGACAGCAACAAGGGCGGCAAGCGTCGTGAGCGCAGTGTGGTCGCGGAAGAAGCAGGCGGACGCTCCAGAGTCGAGTGTAAGAGAGAGCGAAGCACTCGCGTCAGCCGGTGGAGGGGCTGGCGTGGAGCCTACACGAGAGTTATCAGCATACATAGTAGACCTAAGCTGATCCATGTCAAGCTCAAAGACCGGCACATGGCGGCGGGCCAAGGCGTACCAGTCAAGAGGGTCCACCGTTGGGCTGAAGCAGAGATGGTAGAGGTCGTCCAGGCGGTAGTGTGCCCGGGACGGTCGCAGATGGTGCTGCAGTGGAGGCTGGACTGAAGCTGCTACTGGCCGGTGACCACATTGGTGCTGCCACCTGACACCGAGCTGCACCCACCCACCACCACGACGACCACCACCAGCGCTGCCAGTCCACCTCGGCGGCGGGGGTCCCCACGGCGACTGCTGCTGTTGCTGCGACTGCTGCTGCTGCTGAGTCTGCTGTTGCTGCTGCTCCGGGGCACCAGCCCCAGTCCCCTCGTCTGAACCACCTGCCCCCCCTCCACCACCCCACCACCCCCACCACCCCCACCACTCTTTCCTCCGCCATGACCCCCCTTGAGGCGGCGGCCCCTACCCTGACGCTGCTGCACTGAGGCCGCAGCGGCGGTCTCCTAGCAGGGGCTGTCTCAGCGACAGCGGCAGAAACGTCAGAGAAAGTGCACTGGGAGGGAGCAGCACAGCCCTGAAAGATAGGGACCGCCGCAGTACCGCTAGACTGCGCGATAGTGCTCTGGTGGGTCTCTATCGCGGACAGGGTAGTGATAAAGGCGGTAAGGGTGAGGTCACCTGGGTGTTGCCTAAAGAAATGGTCGCGTGCAGTGGCTAGGCGGTCCGGAAGACGCATAACAATGAGGTAAAGGGTAGTGCAAAGCGGCGGCAGGAAGACAGCAATCTAGGCCTCAGTGCTAGCATCGTGGTAGCTAGCACCAAGTGCGTGGAGGTGAGTTGCAAGGTCAGCGACATTGGGGAAGGACGCAAGATTAGGGAACAGCATGGGGCAGATCAGGCGGCCTGCGGAGGCTGAGGCGGGCATGGAATAGCGCGCAACGATTGCAACTAAAAATTCCATGGCGACTCCCAGACAGCGCGAGCAAGCATAGCAGAGGAAAAGGCCTCATGCTCAGCAGTGGTGGGGGCATCAAGGAGGGCAGCAGGCGCGGCTGGGAGGGAAGCATACCATTGACACGAACAGCTAGGGAGTAACCGTCCTGGCACTGAACTGTCAGGTGACGGCGAAGGTCAATGAGCCACGCCTCGAAGACGATCGCCCGCCCCTCCGTGTCCAGGCGGAGCACAGCGTCCGCCATCCAGTGACCTCAGCTGCACGGTGGCACGGCAACACGGCGACATGAGGTCACGGCGCTACGGCGACACGAAGGCACGGTGACACTGCAGTATTGCAGCACGGCGGCACTGCGCCACGGCGCCACGGCAGCACGGCGGCATGGCGCCACGACGGTACAGCGGCACGGCGACACGGCGGCATGGCGACACAGCGGCGCCGCGGCACGGCGGCTCTACACTGCGGCACGGGCCAGCGGGCACGGAGCTGGCGAGCGTGGGGCTGGTGAAAGCAGGGCCAGCGAGCAGGTGCGGGGCCAGCAGGCACAGAGCTAGTGGCCGCGGGGCTGGCGAATGCGGGGCTGACGGGCACAGGACTGGCGGGCGCAGAGTTGGTGAACGCGGGGGCAGCGGGCGCGGGGCCAGTAGGCACGGAGCCGGCGAGCTTGGGGCCAGCAGGTGCGGGGCTGGCAATCGACGGGCGGCTACGGGCAGCTAGCGGTGAGCGGCTAGAGACGGGCAGCTAGCTACGGGCGGCAAGCGATAGGCGGCTAGGTCTAGGGCTAGGACTAGGGCGGAAATGTGGTTGGGTGGGATCCTAACCTAGTGAGATACCATGTTAGCGTAGAAAGATTGACTAGAATGAAGGCAAACATTGTGGTTTTGTCTAAGGGGTCGTACCCTCTAAGAGTACGTGCCTATCTAGCCTATGAGACATGTACAAAATATGTTTGACACTGATAGCTCAGCCACCCCCCCCCCCCTGGTCCCCTGATTTTTCAGGCCCCTCAGAGAAAATTTCCTTGATCCATCAGGGTCGTTCGATTTTTCCGCGCTTAGTAAACAGATTACACACAGAACGCACGCTGAGTAAGATATGCCTAGTACTATGCGGTAGCAGGGCTCTCAACGGCAGCAGGCGTAGAGGGACCAGGGCTAGGTTTGGGCTCTGGGAGTGCAACCGTGTGGGAAACAAAAATGGTCAGTCGCATTCAAAACGGCGAGATTGACAGGGAGGGTGGGGGAAACTCACAAAAATCACAGGTGGAGGGATGGGGGCTGCGAGTCCGCTATTACGCGAATCAAGTTCGGCCCCTGATAAAAGGTTGGACAAACAGGGCTCACTACACTAGTCATGCTGATCGATCAAAGTTCATTCCTGCAAAAACACTGAAATTTCAGGCGCGTGTCCCAAAAAAAGGCTGTCTCATCAGAGCCACCCCTAATAGAGCCCTGATTTTACCCTGAATCTGAGTAAAAAGCCTGCAATCTGAGGCCCTGACGACCAAGGCGGGCTAGGGCGCAAGCGCGGGTGAAGGGACGTAACCTAGCTGATACAATCTCATAATAATGGAATGAGTAGAATGAGGGGATACAAGGCAATACATGGTTGGGAATTGTACACTCTAAGAGCACGAACCCTACTAGCCTATAACTTCTACATATGCAAGATATGTATAACTATAATTCAGTGCACATTCAGAAGACAAACGACAAGCACCGAATTTTGGTGCACAGTTCGGTTACGAAGCTGAGGTCAAAATGGGGCGACTTGGACCGCAGTGAAATCCGAAATGCAAAGCGCATCAACCTTGTTTCTCGTTTCTTTATGTCTGTTTCATTACGCGTTTGTTGGACTTCGAATGTATCACTTGTTTCTACTGAAATTTAGTGAAAGCTCTCGAGTTTTCAGTAGAGAAAACTGCTTTTTGCTATTCTCAGCAATAGTAACCTCCTCAACCAGAGGCGCTGTCGAAATACAGTATGTATGATTTCACTAGTGTACCGTCCTCCATGCCTCCATGCATCCATGCATCCATGCCTCCATGCCTCTGTGCATCCATGCCTCCATGCATCCATGCCTCCTTGCATCCATGCCTTCATGCCTCCATGCATCCATTCCTCCATGCACCTATACCTCCATACAGGTGGGCATGATCGCCATCAACGATGCCGTGCTGCTCAACGCCCACAACTTCTCCTCCCACCCCGCCTACACACGCCTGCTCGACCTATTTAACGAGGTACGCCTCTTCTCTTTCCCGCCTTTCTCCCCCTCCCCTACCCCGTCCTTCCCCACCCACCCTTTTCCCGCACCCCTCTCTTCGCTTCCCAATCCCCTCTTCGATCCTCGTTGTTATCAAGCAGGTGTGTTCACAACATCGACCTCATCACCACTCCTACCGCATTTCTGGACCTCTCTTCTCCCACTCTTCGTCCCCTCTTCTCCACCTCTTCTCGTTCTCTTCTCCCCTCTTCTCCCCCTCTTCTCCCCTCTTCTCCCCTCTTCCCCCCTCCTCTTCCCCTCTTCTCCCCCTCCTCTCCCCCTCGTCTCCCTCCCTTCTCCCCCTCGTCTCCCCTCTTCTCTTCCCTTCTCCCCCTCCACTCCCCTCTCCTCCTCCTCTCCCCTCTTCTCCCTCTCTTCGTCCCTTCTCCTCCTCCTCTCCCCCTCTTCTCCCCTCCTCTCCCCCTCTTCTCCCCCTCGCCCTCTTCTCCCCCTCCTCTCCCCCTCTTCTCCCCTCCTCTCCCCCTCCTCTCCCCCTCTTCTCCCCCTCCTCTCCCCCTTCTCTCCCTCCTCTACCCCTCTTCTCTCCCCTCCTCTCCCTCCTCTCCCTCTCTTCTCCCCTCGTCTCCCCCTCTTCTCCCCCCCTTCTCCCCCTCCTCTCCCCCTCCTCTCCTACTCCTCTCCCCTCTTCTCCCTCTCTTCGCCCCCTCTTCTCCTCCTCCTCTCCCCCTCTTCACCCCCTCCTCTCCCCTCTTCCTCCCCTCTTCTCCCTCTCTTGTCCCCCTCGTCTCCCCCTCTTCGCTCCCTTCATCCCTTCCTCTCCCCCTCCTCTCCTACTCCTCTCCCCCTCTTCTCCCTCTCTTCGCCCCCTCTTCTCCTCCTCCTCTCCTCCTCTTCTCCCACTCTTCCCCTCTTTTCTTCTCTTCTCCCCTCTCCTGAAGGGGAGGTGGACCTCAACAAATACACCATATCCACGTGGGTGTACCATGCCAATTCCCCATGCCCTGCCACAGGCCTGCAGCATAGCATGCACATTCTCATGTATAGAACCTGCACTCAACGCTGCTTCTTACCAACCAATCCATCCGTGTTCAGTCTCCTGGCCTCTTCCTTTCCTCATTTCCTTGGAGACATCTCAAGGCACATCCCTCTCTAAATGGAGAGAGGCATGTCTACTTCTGTCTTCTTCCGCCATCCCTCTCTCCCGTCTCGAGACCTCAATTGGTCCTCTCCTCCTTCCCTCTCCGTGGCAGGTACCTCAAGATTGTGCAGTACAAGGCCTACTATTCCTTCTGCCTCCCTCTAACTTTCCACCTGCTCACCTCCCTCTCCCTTCTGCTAACTGTTTCCTTTCGCTCCTTCGCCCTAGCAGACACCTCAAGATCGTGCAGTACAAGACAGCCTACTATTCCTTCTACCACACTGTAAGCACATTCCACGCTCTCGTCTCAACCACGCCGCATATTTAACCACACCGAGTCAGCTCTCCAACACCGCACTGCACGTCTGCACATTTTCACATCTCATCCCCGCTGCACTTGCGACACTCCCTTGGGGTTGCCGGATCCTCTTGAGAATTCTCCAGAGGACCCTTCAACTCTAGCACAACGCCCCTAACACATGCAAGAGGCCTTCTCAAGAATTCTCGAGGTCAGACGGGCCCTTCTCAAGGCCACACCACACCTCAGCCGCCAAGGCGAGGTTGGTAGGGCTCTGTGTTGAAGGCGACGGACGGCCTACCCCTGCTTGCCCCCTCTCCCTCCACTGGTTACCTTTCCTCCCCTCCCATGTGCCGTGTGCGCTGGTCCTGGCTTGCATGGAGGATTCGGCGCTGGCGGCAGCGCATGGCAAGGACATTCTGGTGCAGGGCACGGCCATCCGGCATGCTCTCTGGCTAGAAAATGCTGTGGCTAGAAGAACCCTCTCTCATCCCTCTCCATGTTGTACCTTCTCTCCCCTCCCAAGTGGCATGTGCGCTGATGCTAGTGGGAGTCGAGGATGCAGCACTGGCAGCGCAGGCCAAGGAGATTCTGGTGCAGATGGGGACGTATTTCCAGGTGCAGGACGACGTGCTTGACTGCTACAGCGACCCCGCTGTCATTGGCAAGGTGAGGCGTATGGGGCACGGTGGGCTCACAACTTTGAGTTGGGTGTAGGGATGGCTGAGATGGATTCGTGCTTCCAGGTGCATGACAACGTGCTGGACTGCTATGGCGACCCTGCTTTCATTGGAAAGGTGGGGAATGTGGGGCATGTAAGGCAAGATATTGGGATATGGAGGCAAGGTGGGCTCATGGCTTTGAGTTGGGTGTAGGGATGGCTGAGATGGGGAGGTACTTCCAAGTGCAGGACGATGTGTTGCGCTGCTATGGCAGCCCTGCTGTCATTGGCGAGGTGAGAGACATGGGGCATGTGCTTGGCGTAGTTCTTAATGTTGGGGTGTAGGGCTGGAGAGACGGGGCTGACATGCGGACGTACTTGCACGTGCAGGACGATGGACTGCTATGGCGACCCTGTTGTCATCGGCAAGGTGAGAGACAGCGTGGGTTGAGTGCTTCCAATTCTCAGTTTAGGGTTTAGGGCTGGCGATTTAGGGTCCCGTGCAGTTCGACATGCTCGACTGCTAGCTGCTCGCTCCCATGCACCGTACCTCCCATTCTCATCCCCCTCTACCAAGTGGGCACGAACATCTAGAACGTCTATGACGTCTGGGACACCAAGTGCTTGTGGCTGCTGGTGCATGCCTTGAGGCGTCACCCTTCCTTGCAACCAGATGGCTCCCATGCACCTTTCCTCTACTCTTAAAACCCCATTTGCTTTTCTCAGGTGGGCATGGACATAGAGGACACCAAGTGCTCGTGGCTGGTGGTGACGGCCCTGCAGCAGGTGTCAGAGGAGCAACGGCAGATCATAGAGGTAAGTCACGCCTTGCTGTCACTCCGTGTTGGTGGCTCAGGTGGGGTGCGCACAGGTGTCGTCAGCAGGCACCAGATGATCACTGACATTTATGCCGTCACGTCACCCTCCCTGCCTGTCCACCGCACTCGCCACCATCTCTCCCTCTCTGCTCACTCCCTGCCTCTCCCTTGCATAAAGAGCAACTATGGCACTTCAAACCCGCCTCCCTCCTCACCCTCCCTGCCTTGAACGCAGAGCAACCATGGCATCTAAAAACGCCCCCACTTTCCCATGCTTGTCCCTTGCACGCAGAGCAACTACGGCAAGAAGGACGAGAAATGTGTGGCGGCCATCAAGCAGCTCTACACGCACATGAAGCTGCAGGTGGGTTCTGGTGCAGGTGGATTCTGGTGCAGGTGGGGTATGGTGCAGGTGGGGTCTGGTGCAGGTGGACTCTGGTGCAGGTGGGTTCTGGTGCAGGCGGGTTTTGGTGCAGGTGTTGGCACCTGAGGCCAAGTGTACTACGCGAGCCTGACGTCGCTGCTGTAGCTCACGCAGGAGGAAGTACCGCAGCTGAATGTGCTTCGCTCTGCCCTCAAGTCGAGGCTCCTGACACAGGAGGATCATGGCCCTGTTGTCAGCGAACAGGACCGGGGCAGAGCTAGGACGCTCACCTAAGTCAGTGAGCAAGAAGGTCAGCCAGCGGAGCTCCTGTGCCGCCATGGCACCAGCGTAGATCTCAGCCTCACAGCTGGACTGCGCAACAGACAAGGAGCGAGTAGCTCTCCACGAGACGGCACCTGAGCCAAGGCTGAAGCAGTAGCCCTGGGTAGACCTGAGTGTCTCAGCGTCGTCTGCCCACGAAGCGTCTGTGTGTCCAGTAAGGACCACTGGCCTGCGTCCTCCAAGCACTAACCCCATGCCTGATGTACTAGCAAGATAACGCAGAACCCTCTGAGCGGCAGACCAGTGCTGCGGTCGGTGTCTGCCTGTGGCCACAAAGCGTGCCAGGATGCTGAGAGGGTATGCGAGATCTGGGCGAGTGCAAGTCATCAGGTACATGAGGCAACCCACCAGCTCTGCGTAGGGGCCGCTGGGCTCTACCAACTCCTCAGGTACTGGAGCGGAGAGTCTGTGATCTACAGGCAGAGGGGTGGGCTGTGCAGAGGAGAAATGAAGGCTGAACCTCTGAAGGACCTGGCGCACCAAGTGTGACTGAGTCAGGGTGATGGTGCGCGCAGCTCTGTCCCTGGAGATCTGCAAGCCAAGGTAACTGCGCAGTTCTCCAAGGTCAGTGCAGGTGTGTCTCTTCAGCAGCTCTGCCTTCACGGAGGCCAGTGCGTCCCTGTCTGCCGTGGCAAAGACCAGGTCGTCGACGTAAACAAGGATGTAGAACGGAGTCTGGCCAGCACGAACGAAGAGTGAAGGGTCTGCGGAAGACGGAAAGAACTGCAGGTCAGCAAGGGTAGCACGGAGAGTGTCGTGCCACTCACGGGGAGCCTGGCACAGGCCGTAGACGAGGCGCCGCAGGAGCCACTGGGTCCCAGGAGGGAAGGTGCCAGTAAAGCCCAGAGGGCGACGCAGGTAGACCTGCTCGTGTAGGCTGCCCTGAAGGAAGGCAGTGGAGAAGTCGAGGGAGTGAAGCTCGTAGTCACGCTGAGCAGCTAGGTGTAACAGAACCCGAAGAGTAGTCATCTTCGGGGTCGGAGCGAAAGTCTGGAAGAAGTCCACCCCCTTGCGCTGACTGAAGCCTCTGGCCACATAGCGCGCCTTGAAGACAGGCGGTTCTCCAGGAGGGCGCTTCACCTTGAAGAGCCAGCGGCCATCGACTACGTTCACCCCAGGTGGGGGAACTGCGTCGACGAAGGTGCCGGTGGATCTCCAAGATGCCATCTCCTGCTCCATGGCAGCTATCCACTGCGAGGCCTAGGGTCCCGAAGTCGCCTCAGCGTAAGTGCGAGGGGTCGGGATGTCGAAAGCGTCTGGGTCACCCTCAGGGACTAGCAGCATGGAACAGAGATGGGGAGCAGCCTCGGAGAGGAAAGTAAGCTCGAACTGGCGGTCCTCCAGGACGTCACTGCCAAGGGCAGGAGCACCCCCGACAGACGGAGGACAGGCAGGGTCAGAGACCAGAGCGGTGGCGTAGTCAAGGCGGCGGGTAGAGGCGAAGTCAGCGACAGCAGCAACAAGAGCGTCAAGGCACGAGACCGAAACAGACGGGTCTGTAACGAGAGAGGCAAGGACCCGAGGAACGAGAGGACGAGCGGCACGAAGGTAGTCGGACAGCGGGGGGGCGCAACAACAAGGGAGGACGGAGGAGGCGACGGGAGAAGGGGAGGACGAGACGCGTGGGAACGAAGCAACATAGGGTGGGAGCGCAAGACAGGCGAGGCAGGACGAGCACGGGAGGGGCGGTGAGACCAGACGTGCGACGGAGGAGTTGGGTCAGGAGACAGGGGAGGGGACACAGGAGGGGAACGAGGGGGGAGACGAGCCGGGGACGAGTCCGGCGGAGGAAAAACAGGGCCGTAGACAGGAAGAGGAGGAGACGGCCGGGGAGGAACAGAAGCAGGGTCGGGTGACGGAAGGCCGAGCAGGCGAAGGGCGGACACCGGCGGGGACTGCTGCTGCGGCGGCACAACGGCGACACCTGGACCGCAAGCTGCTCCTCGGCTACCCCCGGCACTCTCCACACCAGCACCCCCTGAGGGACCACCCCCAGGGCGACCGGGACGAGCACCCCCAGAGTCAGCGAACGGGGGCTGCGACGGCGGCAGCGGCGGCGGCGGAGGCGACGGTGGCAGCGGCGGCGGCGGCGACGACGACGGCTGCAGCAGCGGTAGTGGCGGTGGAGGAGGGGACTTGGGAGGGGACACCTGGGGAGGGGCGGCCGGCGAGGACTGCACAGGAGGGCCACCAGAGTCAGAAGACTCCTCAACCGGGTCCACAGACGGAAGGGGGGTGACGTAGGACACACCAGAGGGGGCGGGACGGGGAGGAGGAGGAGGAGGGGCAGGGACTACCGGGGAAGGGGTGACGAGGAACAGGGGGGGGGTAACCGGGGGACCACGGTGGGGAAAGCGGCGGTAGTAGGAGACGGACTCGTCAAAGGTGACGTCACGAGAGTGAAAGAAGCGGTGAGACGGCGGGTGGTAAAAGTGCCAGTCGGACGCGTCAAGGGGAAAACCGAGGAAGACGCAGGGAAGGGTGCGGGCAGTGAGCTTGTCCGTGCCGGAGGCACGGACGTGAGCAAGGCAGCCCCAGACGTGGAACGCAGACGCGTCACCAGGAGACCCAGTCCAAAGACGGGTCGGCGAAACCTGCGGCTGCTGAGGGTGCGGCCACAGGTTAAGCTGGTGAGACGCGTAGCGCACAGCGAACGGCCACAGAAAATGGGGTGCACCGGCATGGATCATGGAGGTGCGAGCGACCTCCATGACCAAACCGATGCGTCGCTCAGCGACCCCATTCTGCTGTGGGGAGTCGGGTAGGGTGAACGTCTGGGTGATGCCCTCCGCACGACAAAAGCGACCAAGGACACCGGAGGCAAACTCGCCACCACGGTCTGAGTGAAGACGCAAGACAGGGAGACCGCGGTGGACACGCGCAGAGACAAGCCAGGGGATGAGAGCGCCAGGCACGTCGGCCTTGCGCTCCAGGGGAAAGACTGTGGTGTAACGAGTGAAGTCGTCGACAAGCACAAGGAAGTAGCGCTCTCGACGCGGCCCAGGGACGGGGGCGGGGCCCCAGACGTCCAGGTGCAGGGTCTGCAGCGGCGTGGCGGTAGGGGGAAACGAGGAGGAGTGAGGGGCACGGCGAAGCCGACCCTCGACACAAGGCATGCAAGGTGGGGCGGGAGAGGAGGGAAACACGGGGAGCGAACCTGGGAGACCAAGGACA